CATTTACTGAACCGGAAATGTGAGGGAAACGGAATTTCGGCAGAATTCGGAATGACGCCAAGAAACAGACGGCGAATTTGGGGAATTTTCTGGATTCTTTTGGGACCACCGTCATTTCCTGGCGGCTACAAATTATAAATATAGGCCCTGGCGGTTGGGAAATTTGGAAAAATTTAAAAAATTGGATTTCGGGCTCTAAAAAGTACTCCTAAAAAGTAGCATAAAATCTATTAAGCTAACAAAAGCAATTCTTTGCAAGCTAGCTAGCAATTTAGCGGCTACAAACTACAGAAATCGACAAAAAAGCTTTTCACAGCGAATGTTCGAAAAAAAAAACGGGTAAAAATCCAGTTTTCGGCCCAAAATAAGTGTCGCCACACCCTTAAACTCGAAACTTTCTGTGCAACTGATTTATGGCGTGCTTCAGCTAACCTTTCAGCGGCTACAAACTACAATAACCCACAGAAATCAAATTACTACAGTTAATTTTCTCAGAAACCTGCCTCAAAAATTCAAATTTTTGACTCAAAATCGCTGTGACGACACCTTTAAACCCCAAATTTTCAAACAAACCCTTTCCGGCAACCGCCAAGCTGGGAAAAGCTCTTAAAAACACGCGGTGACCATCGGAAAGTGATGTTTTTTGAGTGGAAAGTCACAAGAATGGGCACTTCGTTCCCACGGCTCTTCAAATTTTGGGTGGGCGGAGGTCTCGTTTCGACGGGGCGCACGTTTCCTTTAAAAAACGGAGGAGAGGCACCAGAATATGTGATTTGATGACATAACCAGTCAGCCAGTTTCTCGAGAGCGAAACAATGGAGGGGTGCATTTTGGGGGAGGCAGTCGAATGGCTAAATCACTAAAAATACGCGTTTTTAAGGTATTAAAATTCGCTTTGGCAGTCAGCTAATCGATTACGATATTGAATTATCTTTTCTGACAATCAGTTAAGCTTAAAAATCCGCTAGAAACTACAAAAAGGTCTATGGGTTCCATTACGCCATGAAATTCGGGATTTTGGGCTGAAAATACAAACTACAAATTCTATGGTTTCAGAACTCGTCCGACTGGTCGTCAGGAGTGTCTAAAATGGAAGAGGCAGATTGTGGTGAGCTGGATTGTGGGGAATACGGCAGATGTGTATCGAGGAGAGATGAAGACATGATCTGCATATGTCCGGAGGGGAAGAGTGGAACGAAATGTAGTGAAGGTGAGAGAGAGAGAGAGAGAGAGAGAGAGAAAGAGCAAAATTGTTAAAAAAGTCGGCGCCAAAACCCGTGGCCAAGTGGTTAGTGACATTGTCTGTCAATCTGTCCACCCGGGTTCGACCCCCGGCCGCGACAAACTTTTTGCTTTTTGCTCGAAACTTTCGGAATTGGCTGTCTGGCGGCCAGAAAGTGTGTGGCAGAGAGATAGAGAGATAGAGAGGGAGAGAGAGCGACAGAGAAACAGAAAAACCGCAACTCAAAAAGTTGTCCGTCCAATACAAATGAAGTTGTCTTTTCCTGAGACGTGAGAGTCTTTAGGGAATAATCAAGGAGAGACCATTTCCCATCTAATTCTCCAATTGCCCCTTCCAAATTACCCTAATTTCGCATTGACGCATGGCCGGGTGGAGGGTCTGCTGAATTAACTGACCAACTTGATGGACATCAGAAAACGGTTTGCTCTGGTGATTTTTGATTCTCAGAAATTTCCTTTGTATTTTTTTAGCATATCTGATTGCCATTTTAAAAGAATCTAGAAAGAAAGTTTTTAATTTTTATTAGAGGTCAGTTTAGCTAAAACCAAGAATAGCAAGCTACAAAGTAAAACGTCCGAAATTGGAGACCCGGAAGTGGGCGGCTTCTGGTGTAAGTAGCCAGAAAGGTAGGGAAAGGAAGGGAAGAAAAAAGCCGACCTTGTCCTGCTCCCAAAAAAGCTCAGAAACAGCCCGACGCGCTTCAGATAGAATATTTAGGGCTGATTTTCGGGTTCCTTCAGCTTGCCAGGTTTATTTTGGAACCGGAAATGAGTTGAAACCGGGTTTTGAAGGGACTGGAAAGGTATGTCTATGGATTTTGCCGATACGTGACACGCTACGCAGGCCCTTTGCGCAGCGAAAAACGAGCGTAATCGATTACGCAATGTAAAGATATACGTACGCTACGCAAAACGCAGCGCGACAAGCAGCGCGATACGCATTTGTATGCGTCTGTGCGTATCGCCATCCCTTTAAAGGTGTTGGACAGTCTAGAGGGTTCCATCACGCGACACGCAACGCGCCCGCTTCGCCGCCTTACAACGAGCGTAATCGATTACACAAGATAATCCTAGGCGGCGCGTTGCGTGTCGCGGCACGATCCGAAAAAACTATAAAGAATCCATGGCGAGCAAATTCTCGATCTCTGCCTTGCACGGCCCCTTAAAATGACGTTTCTCAGGTGGAGGGGGAGCAAAAAACGAATTCCCCAGATTTTTCCTGTCTTCCAACTTTCCAATTTGAATTCCAAATCCGGAAATCAAGGGGCGGGGGGGGGGCAAAGTCCATTTCTTTTTTGGGGGTTAAATTGAGGGTGGCTTCTCGAAGGGCGATTTATTTGGAGCCGCAAGCCGCGTGGATTTTCACGTTTTTTGAGGCGAATGGAAGAATTCTCTGTGAGCATTCTGGGGGAATTGGCCCCCAGCCAGGCAAACAATGAATATTGCAGGACCTTCTGAAAAATGGCGTAAAATTTTCCGGAAAGTTAGCCGAATTATGGCTAACTGGCATTCAGTTAATAAATTCCATAAAAAATCATAAAATTTTTAAATACCATCCATAAAATTGAATTTATACCGTAGTTAAGGGTATGGTAGCTCAAAAATTTCGATTGTTTTTTTCAGATGCCTCAACCCAAGCGATCTCCCTCGATTCTTCTCATACCTATTTTGCCTATCTTAACACGAGAACTACGAGGTACACCTATTTACACCTACCGTACGCAAAAAAAATCAATTTTCAGTCATACTGTAGCTACAGTACCCGCGAATTTCTCGTTAGAATTCAGGACAACAGATCAGAGTGGAATGCTCGCGTGGCAGGGTAAGCGAATTTAATTTAATTAAAGCTTCGATATTTCAGGCTCATGGCCAGATAGCGGAGATCATTTGGGAATATTTGTCAGGGAGGGACAGTTGCTGATTTCTGTCAATAAAATGGAACCTTATCAGCTGAAGGGGAAGGAATTGATGGTGAATGATGGGAAATGGCATCGATTAAGTGTCAAATTGTGAGTTACATTAATTCAGGAAATTCAACGATTTTAAGCTATTTTTTATCCCTCTGAAGCCGCAAAAATTTCAAAAAAAATATACAGACCTAAATTCTGAAAATCTTTCGAATCAGATCAAAAAAACACTATTTTATTTTCCTTTATTCGTTTTTAAATAAATTTCTTAGATTGATAAGCCGAATTCAATGATTTCCCAAGCCTAAAAAGAATTTACAATAATCCGTTTAATTTTTACATTTTAAAAATTAAAAAAAATAAGATTTTTTCGTTTTTAAGCCCAAATTTTCACCCTATATTTTGCAGGGAAACCCGCAAATTACGCGTACGGCTTGATGACGGCAAGGAAGAAAAGATACAGCTAAATGGAGCTACAAAAATGACGACAGACGGCCTCTTATATCTGGGTAAGCAATGATCACACACTCTAAGTTATTTATTTTTGCTAAAAAACACCTGCTACTCGTAAATCGCGTCTGGGCTACGGTAGAAACGGGAGCTGAAAAAAATAACAATGAATTGTAAAACATTGACCTTTACCTTGAGAGGATTCACGAGTTACGGGCAGGTGTTTCAGAGGGCATAACAATCAAAATGACGAGTGATCGGTCAACTTTAGAAAAAATTAATTTATAGTTTTTGATCCCTTAAAACAACATTAAAACCCAACAACGAAAACTTTATTGCGTAATCTATTAGAAAATATCGAAAAATCTAAGAAAACCCCAAAATTGAAGGGATTATCATGGCGTAATCGATTGGCAAAAGACTTTAGAAAGGCTAATTCCTAGTTTTTGATCGATTAAAAAGTCTCATGGCATTAAAGCTAGGATATCATAACGTAATACATAGAAAAATTTGTTAAAATCTGTAAAACTAGCGAGACCCAATTAACATGGCGTAAGCGATTGTGTAATCTTCTAATAACCGCGAAAAAACTAATTTCTTCCTATTTAAGGTTGTATTTTATAGTTTGCTATATTTTGGGCTTTTCAAACCTTGAAAAACAGGATTTTCATGGCGTCATCGATTGCGAAAACTCTTGCAAATTCAAAAAAATATGAACTTTTGCGGGTTTTTCGTTGTGCATGGTTTATCTTTTGTTGGGATGCTACGCTTTACAAAATTAAAAATTTGTTATCGACAAATACCAAATAATTTATGCTGATTTCAGGCTGGCCCCTCCACGTGGAGCCCCTCCCGTGGACAACACCCGAAAGACGATCACTCAAATGTTGTATAAGAAATGTACAATTAAATGATGGAAGGGTATTGGATCTGATAGCTGATACATTACCCAATATTCCATCCATACCCAAATTGTGCCAGTGAATAAAGATTAATTTATATGATTTTGTTTCTAAAAACTGAATTTCTAGGTTCCAAAAATTGTAAAAAACCATGGGAAGCTTAGTTTTAAACATTTTGTAGGTTATTTTGTAGCCCTTGAGCTTCTCTACATTTTGAAGGTACTTAGAAAAGTACAAACTACAAAATGGCCGAGCTATTCGGCTGCAAAGTGTTTCCGCGGCCTCAAAAAAGGGTAAAACCTTATATTTTTTTAAATCCTGGATTTTCAGATTCTTTCAAAGCTGCTACTGAAACGTCCTGAAAAAGTAGATAATTTTAGGATGTTTTATGGCAAAAATTATAAGGCTTTCACAAAGTTACAAACGTTTGAAAGTGCAAGAATTTAGAAAATTGTCAAAAGTACTCTATTTAATGTAAAATGCTAGTATAAAGTATTTATTCACACTTGGGCTGTCTCATATTTCCCATCACCTCGGCCAACATCTTATTGCACATTGCCGCATAGGGATTCAGGGCTACGAGTTGCATTTTAGCGAATGATGATCCAAGGGAGGAGGCTTGCTCGTAGTCCGCCTAAAAATGGATTGAATAGTGTTCAATATGTTAGATTTTGTACTTCGACACATTTTCAATACTCTTTTTATGAAAATTTAACAACTTTTAAAGTAGAACAATATCTAAAAATTCACAAATATTAGTAAAAATTTGAAATTTTTATCGAAAATCGGCATTTTTGGTCAAAAAATCAATATTTTCTTTTTTAAGAAACTATTTTTATCAAAGAACATACTCGTGCTCCGTCATCATCTCCCTTCAGCCTCTTGATCAACGCCCTCTGTGTCAGGGCTTGACAGGCTGATTTCCCTTGGCCGCCACTCAATTTGATCGCCTCATCCAGGTCGAGGAGGGCGCCTGAGAGTTTTATTTGTGCGTATTTCCGAATTCCGCAAGAATCTATGCTAGTTTGCCCTCAATATCTCTGAACTGGTATGTGATTAAGCGATTGGCGAAGGAAAAAAATGAATTTCTGTCATTGGGGAACGCATTAATGACGAGTGCATCTAGTTTCTAGCTTTAATCGAGGCGTGCCGCCAAGTTCCACAAGAATCTCTGCTAGTTTGCCCTCATTATCTCTAAACTGTCATTCAAATTATCGATTGCTTTCATTCGAAAAAGATCAATTTCCATCGATTTCCTTCTCATACCTTCCGTATCATTATTCATCCTCCGCGCCTGCGCTCGATTATTATAGGCCGATGGATTTATTGGGCAAACCTAAATTTAAATTATAATATTCATTTACTTTGTTAATTACCGTACCTCGACAGCCCTATCAAACAATTTCATGGCGTCACCGATTCGGCCGGTCTCGGCCATTTTGATCGCCTGCCTCTCTAATTCTCGACTTTCCTCGATCCCAGCGTGGTTTATTGGTTCTAAAATTACCCAATTTATTATTCTAAATTTAAACTGACTGTCCTCGAGTTGTTTTTCCTCTTCCGGATCGGTATCCGGCATCAACGGATTGAGAATGCGGTTTAGAACCTTGCGATCGTGGGCTGTGGCCATTCTATTCGATTGTTTCGTTGATTCTAGAAAAAGGAAAAGCTATAATAGGTTTTTTTTGGGTAAATTGGATGTCAGTTAGAGGAAAGGCCATTGAAACAAGTGGGGATAAATGGGTACAATCAGGGAATGGCGCGGAGAATGGGTCTGGCCCCGGCACCCACATCGTAAATCTGGTCTCTGATGGGTAAAATAGACACTTTTAGGGCATCCATCATCTTTTTTAGGGTTGTGGGAGGGTAATGGAGGAGATAGATCAATTCTAAAAACGATATCTTACCCAAAAAAATGACAATTGTTGCGGAGATCAGTCGGAAATGGTCAAAAATCGCCTAGAAAAATTAGAAGGCAAATTTGCCTGAAAAATCTCGCTCGATTTGATTTAGGCTTACTAACACGCAAATAGTATTATCTGACCGTCAGAATAGATTTCAAAGCTTTTAAAACTGATTTATGACGTTTATTTTCACAAACTTACGTCATTTTTACGCCAAAATGACGAATTCTTTGAAAGGCCAAAATTTTCTTGAAATACCCCAAAACCCGGCTACAAATCCGAACGTTCGCGAAAACGCATCCACCTCGTGATGCCAATTCCAAAGGGCACCTATCGACGAAATGCAAAAGAAAATTTGGGGGTGGGGAGGATGAGGAGGAGGAGAACGAGGGGTGATGGCGATGAAATGGGGGATCCCGAGATCGAGTAGGGGGAGATTGATTGGACAGAAGACAGAGAGACAAACAGACAGACAGATAGGACAACCATGAAACGAGTAATAGCCCCCATTTCACACACGGCTTATAAAACACACCCGTGGGGGGCTTTGTGACGCGTATTGTGACGTACTGGAAGGATGTTTGGGTATTAGAGGTTATAGAAAAACCGAAAATGAGCTGCCTGTCTGTCAGTTAGTCGATTTGTATGTTGGTCTGCCTATCAACCGGTACTGGGTTGTTAGCGGGGGTGTAGTCTACCTGTCTAGTCAAAAAATATCTCTCTCTATAGTTCTGTCCCTCTCTCTCACTTTCTGGCTTCTATTTAACCAAATCTGATATTTTCGACCAAAAAGCAAAAGTTCATCGCGGTCGGGACTCGAACCCGGGTCGCCAGATTTGCAGGCGCGGCCACTAACCACTAGGACACGGATTTTCGCCCCCTGATTTTTTTGGCTAATCGTTCTATTTTTATGTTTTATGTGTTCTCTCTCGTTTTTTCTCGCTTTCAACCATGGCAATATAAAATTGTCAAGGCCTGGAGTACTTTAAAAATATACTTAGGAATAGTACTGAGCATGTGGAAAATGATGATAATGTTTTTATTTGTGGTTGCCGTTTGAGGGCTTATCACATGGTGGCGGCAAACATCCGTATTTCGAATGGCACATCCACCGTTCCGGGCATTCACTGTCCACCTTACACTCTTTTCCATGCCACGGGTCTTTTGTTGGCTGAAATCGGTTCAAAAAACCATTAGAAATCTTCTAAAGAATTGATTTAAACTCGAAATATCTGTTAGAATTAATTAGTTTCAAAACTGGAATTTTGAGCGTGGATTTACCTGTTGCTTTTTCTGACAAACACCCTGTGGAACCCATGAAGAGACCAATCCCCGCTTCGACATCACACATTTCTCGCCCTCGCCGCATTGGTCATCATTGCGGCACTTGGTCTACAAATGTCAATTGGTGTTGGCTGATAACCCATTCTGAGAGTTTCGAGCAAAAAGCAAAACGTTTGTCGCGGCCGGGACTCAAGCCCGGGTCGTCAGATTGGCAGGCGCGGCCACTAACCACTAGGCCACGGATTTCCGCGCCAATTTTTTGGCCAATCATTCTATTTTTATGTTTAACGTGTTCTCTTTCGTTTTCTCTCACTTTCAACCACGGAAATATAAAATTGTCAAGGCCTTTTTCACCAATCTATAACACCTGAAATATCGTACAACTTACAGGCATACAACCATTCGATACCCCAATCAGAACAACCAGCACAATCAGCACCAAAGATTTCATGGCGATTTCATGCTGGAATATCGCCGAACAGCCCGCTTTATACAAAAAATACGTGGGCTGGGGCTCCCATATAAATTACCCTTGGAGATTTTTGGCATATTTTTATGGCCATGCCTCACAACCAGGGACGTAGCGTAATACAGGCCCCGGGGGCCCGGGGCCCCCCCCGAAATCGGCCGGGGCCCGAAAATTTCATAAGGGGGGACCCTTATGATTTTTATTTTCTCAAAAATTTTGCTGCCTGCGGCGCTATTTTTTCACGTTTTTACGGCTATTTCTAGAGCTACGCAACCTTCTTTCCAAAAATTTTTGCCTGCGGCGCTGTTTTCTCGTTAATGTTTTAAGTTTTTTGAAAAAAATTTTTTGGGCCCCCCCCGAAATTTTTTTCTGGCTACGCCCCTGCTCACAACGCGTCACATAACAATTTTGATCGGATGCAAAATTTATATTCCGGCGTCTGGCTGCCAGATAGCCAATTCTGATAATTTTGAGCAAAAAGCAAAAATCTGTCGCGGCCGGGAATCGAACCCGGATCGCCGGATTGGGCGCCGCCACTAACCACTTGGCCACAGGTTTCGACGCCGATTTTTTCGAACAGTTGTTTCTTTGTTGTGTTTTATGTGTACTCTCTCGTTCTCTCTCGTTTTTAACTATCAAAATATACAATTATTTATTCATTCCGTTCACACACTATTTCCATCCTTATTACACACCGTTGTATCCATGGTTAAATCGATGGTATAAGTGGGCGAGGCTTCCTTTGATTGTGGATGTCCAGTAGATGATGATGCAGAAGATGATCTAGCCGTCTTCGTCTCGATCGGTCCAACTTTGGCCATAAATGGGAGATGTCGATAGGTTTTGTTGATGAAGAAGAAGCAAATCAGGAGAGGGATTACAGGGAGCATTGTTTGGATATCAAGGAGCCAATACCTGAAAATAGAGGGGTAACTAGCGCCGGTTTCTTTGCGGAATTTTGCAACGAAAACGCTAAAATCCATACCATGTACTTTGTACTGTAGACTCGAGATTCGTATCCCCTGTTATTCCGGCAATCGCGTCCAACAGACACCTAGAGAAATAAAAATTACATGACGTAATTATGTAGCGTAATTGGATCTCCAAATTATATGGCGTAATTATATAACGTAATTATTTTCTTTGTCTTCAATGGCCTTTTAAACGCCCTTATATAGCGTAATTGAATGTCAGAATTACATGACGTAATCATGCCTTTTGCTTTCAATGGACCTTTAAAAAGGCTCTAAATATGGATAAAAATGGCAGAAAAATATTAGAATTAGATCGGGTAATTATATCGCGTAATTGGATGTGCTATTTCGATGGCGTAATTATATACCGTAATCCTTTTTGCCTTCAATGGCCCATTAAAAACCCACTTGACAGTGTAGATCAAAAATGGTGGATAAGCTGTCAGGCTCGTCTTGAAGAGCTGACACTCGAAAACCTGAAAAAATGGGATTTTTGGGTTACTCTGCCTTTTGAAAAACTTACATTTCGACTGCGTTTGAATTTGAGATTACGGTATCTGTGGAGACAGGCAGCATAGAGTACGGTAGTCACAGAAACGGCAATGATTGACAGGAGGAAGGAGAGACCGTGCGGCAGCCACTGAAACATCGGATTTTAGGAGTTCTTTGCTGTCACGCCCCCTTTAAAGCGAGAGACTATGAAATACTCCAAATTACTTACGGCATTATCACTTCCGAAATCCAATAGTCCGTCGGGTCTGCGTATAAATGTGGGAGTGGGATCGAGAATGGCCGGCAGGGCAAAGATTGTAGAGATGATCCAGACGAGGAGGAAGAGAAGGCGGAAACGGTTGCAATTCCACCACTAAATGCATCACCATATGAAAAATATTTTTTTTTAGAAGTCTCTACCGTAACCCGAAAATGACTACAACCTACATGTTGATGTTGAACGGGATAGTAGAAAGCGGTGAATCGATTGAGGGCAGTCGGGATGTAGATGAGGTAGATGTTATTCTTCAGGATTACCTGGAAAGAGGAGGGTAGAGAGAGAGAGAGAGTGAGAGAGAGAGAGAGAGAGAGAGAGAGAGAGAGAGAGAGAGAGAGAGAGAGAGAGAGAGAAAGAGAGAGTGAGAGAGAGGGAGTGAGAGAGAGAGGGAGGGAGAGAGAGAGAGAGTGAGAGAGTGAGAGAGAAAGAGAGAGAGAGACCAACCTGCGTTGAATACAAAACACGCGGAACCCATAGCGGAAGTGAAGAAGCCGGAAATATCCATTCGTGGCAGATCGGACGGAGGAATAGTTCGGTGTGCAGAAAAAGAATCACGTTCATCACGCCCTAAAAATTCTTTTGATTAAATAAATATTTTACAAGTATAAAATTTTTCCTTTAGACTCCAACTTACATTCAACCGTAGCTGATCCTTAATTGTAACTGGAATCCCGAAATGTTTCACGTCCATAAACGTAATTAATAGAATATAAATAAGGCAAAGTGGCCACCAGATACTTAATGTAACCCATTCCCACCACCATAAACCGACGCCAGCCATTGCTTGCTATCTGAAAAGGTTAAAAAATAAGTAAATTTATTAACACCGAAAATAAGGAAAATATTGAGTAAAATTAACGTCTTTTGGCAACCAGTAGGGCCAGTCATCACATAAAAAATATAAAAAATGCGTATTTTGACAGCTGAAAATTAATTAATTACGTCGTTAAAACCGGCAGCGGAAAGTCTAACCGATTACGTCACTAAACTCCAGCCAAGCGACGGACCATTTTTTACACTTTACAAATCTGTTGTGAAAATACAAAAAATGGCGATTTCTAAACCAAAAAACATGGATTTTTCGACAAAAATTTCAGATTTTGAAAGTTTTAAATCGTTTTCCGCTTGAAATAAAGCTAAATTTCACTAAATGCCTATTAAAAAGCACTAAATTAGATGCTCTCGATGATGCAAAAGAACCGTAAACTGATTGATTACGCCATAAAATCAAACAGTCAAGAAATCTAACCGATTGCGTCTAAATCTAGAAAATCCGCAGCTAGCTAAAAGGTAAAACTTTGGTCTCAAAGAAACTGGCTGCCCGATTCCGATTCCAGCAATTTATATCTGTCGACGGGGGCCCCAATTACAGTCCCCTCCGGCCGTCCGTAATGAGGTATTGGCGCGTAGCTACTCCAGATTGGCCCCGTCGGCAGCCCCGATTCCATTATGGTTTGTAATAGAATGTAATGGGCACATTGTCACCCAACAATTCCTTCTTTCCATTCCATTCCTCTCGACACGTATGCGTGCAAATTAAGTGAACACTCAGAAACCGTTGCCAACAACAGCCGATTGAACTCTGCCCAAATTCTGCCAGACACCTGCGCCAAAAGGGGGTGACTACAAACTACAAAAGTCTAGGCTCTGGAAAAGTTTAATAACTTGAAAATTTCGGGTTTTTTTTGCGCTGTATCCCAGTTTTTCCGGTACTGGACTGTTAGCGGGGGACCAAGGGGATTTTCACCGTAATTCCGTACGACCCGGTAGCAAAAGCCAAGTAATTCTTATAAGATTTTCTAGCGTTTTTAGATATCAAAAACTCATGGAATAATCTTACAAAATCCGCAAAATGTTTGGCTTTTTCCTCAAAATGTATGAAAAAGCACCACAACAAGATCAAAGTTTTCGAACCTGCAACAATTTTCATAAGTTTCGATAAATCCAAAACCACTAAAACCACCATAAAAAAATCCCGATCAAGCATCTTCTTTCAAATACATCATTATCGCAAAGCTCGACCACACCGTAGTTTACAAGCATACCTAAAAATTACATTTGAAACGACGTTAGAAAAACTGCAGAGCTGTGAGGCCATTTTCTAGTAATGGACAATTTGTTATATCAATAATCGTTTATTCAGCAATGACAAAGTGAAAAAAAATCATTAAAAATGATTGGTGCTTCCGTATTAACGGGGAGCAAGGCATCATTTTTTGCGATGGAAGCTTAGGGGAGAAGTTCACATTTAAACAATTTCCATGGCATTTTACATTGTTGCTTATATAAAAAGACTTTTTAAAAAAATGTACGAAATATAAAAAATGCAAATGTTAAGAAAAGAGTCATTTTTCACAAAAGCCTATGAAAAATTATCAAAACTTGCGGTTTTTAAGGTCTTATACGATTTTCATCGTTTTAGTCAAGCCAAAATACTAAAAATATCAGCTGAATTAAAAAGATTTGCCTTGGCTCCCCCTCATACGGAAGCACCAAATTCATTACCTGGTTTTTCTTGATCAATTCTTCTTCCAGCTCCTCCAATTCGCGAGCAACAGGAGTGTCGACCTCGAGATGCCGGACAGTTGAACGCCTTCTTCAGCATCGTCGATTACCTGAAAACCACTATATTGGTATTTTTGTGTGGATGTCACTTTCGAGGCCTGATTTAGGGCCTTCCCTGCATAAAATGCCCTAATTCTCCGTCACCCGGGAATCGACCCTTCTTTTCGAGGCGTTTTCAGAATTTCGATAAAATACAAGTTTACAAAGAAAGGCGTTTTATTGATTTTGGGGTACCTGAGGTATTTGATAATGCGATACACTTCCTCATTCTGCAATGACTCGCGCGTGTGGGCGGGGCTCCGCAGGACCGAGCTATCAGAGTCAAACTTTTCATGAAGGCCGCATTCCAGGCCAGGCCCGCGAAGCGGGTTTTGGGCGCTGGTAAAGAATTAATAAGGTTACAAGGATGAAGCAAAGAGCAATCGAAAATAAAAGAAACTATTAACAAAGTTAGCTTCATCAAAAAAACTAAAGCTTTCAAGCCATTATTTTAGCGTGTCGGCCTTTTGTGATTAAAATAATATTTATCAGGTATAACAACGTGAGAAAATCAACAACAAACTATTAAAATCTTGCTCATTCTTCCTCCTCCATCAATTCTTCTTCCAGTTCCTCCAGTCGAGTAGCGAATTCGCGAGCAACAGGAAAGTAGACCTCACATTCCTTCTCAAAAT